TTGTTTGTTATATAAAATCAGTGTTCTAAATAGTGCGCGCATTTGCGCGAGGCGAGGCAATGCACGAGGCGAGGCTAAGGCGCTATGCACTTGCTTGGCGTCTTATTTGGCGGTAATGGAAGAGGTCAACAGATGTGAGGTGAGGCTAAGGCTCCAATGTGCTCCTAGACGTGCATTATTAGGTTTTTTTACTTTCTTATTTTTTTTTTCTTTACAATTCTTTTAAGTCAAAACTTATAATTATTAAATAATTTATAATTATTAAATAAATTTTTTATTAAAATTTTAAAATAATATTAAAATAAGAAAATGCTTTTTAACCCTTTTTTTCGCATTTGCCTCGCCTAATCTCACATTGTCTTTAGATTGGCATCAACGTATCGTCGCGCATTACACCTTTTAGAACATTGTATAAAATCTTGAAGCCAAAACCTCTCTGTTTTGACAAACTAGGTAACTAAAAGACAGTAGTCGACTCCATATTAATTGAATGCAGAGATACTAAAAAAAAAAAAAAAAAGTTAATTATGTAATGTTAACAGGTGTACCATGATTACTGTCCAAATCTATACATTGTTTCAAATTTCTAACTTTAAAGAAATTCTAGTAATTTCACGCCTGTCAAAAGGAAATTTCTCCGAACCTTTCTCGATAGGGGCTAGCAAGAGGAAATTCCAGTGCTAACTACTTCCCCTTTCCTATACCTATAATTTTCAACTACAAGAAAATATCGTGTGATATCTTGAGATTCTTTAAGTTACGTTCGATTTTGCTTAAAAAATTGATAAAATTAAATCAAAATTAATAATTATTTTTAATCACACATTTTATGGGATCTAAGATTTTTATCAACTTTTCAACATCGTTTCATTAGTTTTTATCATAATCTATTAAAAAAAACTGATTTTTAGAAAGGGGGGAAAAAAAAGAACAAAAAAAAAGAGAGAGGATGAAGTCAACCCTGATCCCCTTGGAGGCCACTATAAATATTATTCTAAAGGCTTCAGCCTTGAAAATTAAAAGACAGACTGTGTCTATATTGTTCTGTTCTCTTGTAGATTAAAATTTGGAGTTTTTACTTAGTGATGGATGGTGAGGATATTGCATCAGCTCCTTCAACACCTGTAACACCAGGGACTCCAGGTGCTCCTCTCTTTCGAGATTTCAAAAGGGACAATAATTGCTTTAATGGTAGAAAATCATCTCTTCTTAAGAGCAGCAAATGCTTTAGTGCTGAAGCTTGGGAATTGGAAGAAGGGAGTTTCCCCCCTGTCTCTTGTGCATTGCCCCCACATTCTGTCTCTCTTGCAAGAAAGGTGTGCATGAACAACTCTACTAAATCATCTTGTCTAATTTTCGTTTTATTTTATTTTTTTATTATTTTTTTTTCTTGAAGGCCTTTTAATAGGTGACAATGATATTTGTGTTAAGTTGTGGAACCTAATTATTGTTGAGCCATAATTATTGCTGCTTCGCAGAGATGGTCGCGGATCAAATTAAGGGCTATTTACGAATTTATATTTTTGTAAAATTAAATGAAGGAATAGGAGTCTATATAAAATTTGATTTTAACCTAATTTATCTTATAAATAGATAGCAGACCTTAGACTTTATTTATTATCATCAAATGGAGAGAGAGAGATTGGAGAAAATATGATTGATATTTTTTCTTGTAAACCTTTTTTCATCATAGTGAATTATTGTAGTGACAGGACAGGACGTAGTCTCATACTGAGACAAACCTCTATAAATCTTGCGTGCTTTGTTTGTTTATTTCTTTCTATAACTTGATTGTTCTTGATGGGATAGAATTAGGGTTTATAATTCAGAACAATTTGAAGTTGGGATTCTCGACTGATATATATGTTTCTTACCAGATGGGAGCTGAGTTTATAGGTACCCTCATACTTATCTTCACTGGAACAGCCACTGCCATTGTGAACCAAAAGACAAACGGATCGGAAACCCTTATTGGCCTGGCAGCCTCCACCGGGCTGGCGGTGATGGTAGTCATACTCTCCACTGGTCACATTTCTGGAGCTCATCTCAATCCTGCTATCACCATTGCCTTTGCTGCTCTCAAGCATTTTCCATGGAAACATGTAAGCCCCTCTTTGACAGCCATTATCCAAAAATTATTTTTTTCTACGTACTCATTTTCAAAACATTTTTCTACTTTTAACCACACATTCTTCCAAAATTCACCATTCAAAACTTTGTTTTTACCAAATAATAGCCATTAAATAGGGCCTAAATTTACATTCATGGCTGACTGATAGTATTAGAAACTGTTAACAAAAAAGCTAAACTCTTGTCTGTTTCATGTCAACTATGGTGCTCTATCACATTGGATTGATTCAACTTTAATTTAATTTGGGTGCAGGTTCCTTCTTACATTGGAGCCCAAGTAATGGCATCATTAACTGCTTCATTTCTGGTAAAAGGGATTTTCAATTCTATGATGGGTGGGGGAGTAACAGCTCCTTCAGGGGGATATGCTCAAGCTTTTGCTTTGGAATTTATTATCACTTTCAACCTCATGTTTGTTCTTACAGCAGTAGCCACAGATACAAGAGCTGTAAGTCTCCCTCTCTCTAGTTACTTTCGAGATATATAATTAAATTATGAGTAAATTCCTCCATAGGTTCCAACTTTTTTCATAAATATGGCAACCATGTCCCCAATATTTAGTTTGTACTTCCATATTCCCAAACTTCTAATAGCGTACGCACAATATCCTCACCTTATGGTAAATGTCAATTTAGACGTTAAATGTCCATG